ACACACACACACATTTTCCTAACGGATACTCTGGAGCCATAGGGAGGATTGTACAGAGGTTGAATATTGAAAATATATTACTTTTTAAAAAGCTGCTTACAAAAAATAGTATTCTCCATTCACCTGAAATGAGAGCCTTTCTCCAATGAAGATGACTCGCCTTTCTCTGAATATCAATAACACTCACTTAATCAGACAGGGTTTCTAAGTTGATTTGTAAGAGCTTTAAGGACTCACTCGATGCCTTCTTAATGAAAAGCAAAAGTTAATTACCCCCCTTTTGACTCGGGTTTTGTTAACAATAGTGAGCATTTTATTTCAAGGCCCAGAATCTGTTTCATGTGACGGGCACTCACACCCAAATCACAGGGAAAATGGACCGTCCTTCATACACAAAGTCAATTTCACTGACCAGCCAGGAGGACAGCATCTGTTCCCTGTTGTCTGATCCATTAGTGGTGAAAGGTTTGCACTTATCCATTAACCCCCCTCTCCCCGCTCCCCGTGCCCTTCACCACCAAAAGGGAGCTTTGCAAGAGAGCTGGGCAGCATGAGGAAAACTGTTTCCTGACTGTGAAATAAGCAAGAAAAACTACCAAGATGGCCCAGAAATCCAACTCAGGACCCTGGCACTGGTTCCTCCCAACTAGACTAACAGGGGAAAAAACAGTCACAATAATGCTCATTCTTAAGAAACATTTTCAAAATTATGTTTATGAGGAATCCTGGGGAAGGTCTACGAGATTAATCCAAGGAGCCTTTATTTTCAGAGGTGTCACTTTGCACAACAAAAAACCAAGTGTCAACACCAGAAATTCTCTCCTTAAAAAAACTTCTGCCCCAATGTCTTTGCAGATGCAGTCCTCGAAAACTGTTTAAAACAGAGGCTAAGAAGCACTGTTGGGCATTTTGGCGTCTCCATTTATGTCATTCCAGAGACGGCACCACCCCGATCCCAAATCTGTTCTCAGAAATGTGCGTAAGAAACGTCTCTGGGGACCCGGGGAGCCTGGATAAAGTGCACTGGCTCCCTGCCAGGACAAAGAACAAAATAATATTCTGTATTGAAAAAGTGGTTTTCTTTTCTTTCCTTTTCTTTTCTTGAAAAGGAGAGGAGTGTTTCTATTTTTCATTGTGCATCAAATCCCTAAAGACCACAAATAAATCCCTAAAAGTACACACATTAATGTAAATGCAGTCAGAACAGGAACTGTTAAAACACCAAAGCAAGCAATGAAAACAAAAGGATTCCTGCCTTAGGTCATATTAGGGATGTGCTGAGCTTTAGGAAAATGGTTATTTTACTTGTAAGTACCTGTCAGGGAGGGGTGATCTTCAGATGGTGCTTTAAGGAGTCATGAAGTTGGAATTTGGGATTGGGATGCTGGAACCAGTGGCAGCACCAAAGGAGTGGCTTGGGGAGGTAGGGGTCCATAATCTCTATGGAGCCACACATCTAAAAGTCACCCCAAATAAACATACAATCTAAGGAAAACCAGTGGGCTTGTTATACAAAAGTAGCTTCAGATAGAACCCTCTGGTCACTCTTCCAGTCAGCTGACTACCCCTAAAGGTCGCCTTAGTAGACAAGGTCAGAATCTCCAGCCCACCTTCAACTAGAGATTGCTCGGCATACTTGCCCTGCACATCAGGCTTAGGGATAATATTTCTTTCCAACGAGGAATCCCAGTGGAGGGGAGCGGGGCAGGGGTGAACCCCTGACCTATAGTTAAACAACTTTGCAACTCAGAAGATGGGGTTCTGGCCCAGACTCTGCCCTTAGCTATAAGATGGGATACTAACTGAACCTTCTACAATTCCAGTCTTCTCCGCAAATGGCTAGACTATAGATGACTTCTAGTAGCCCTTCCAAGTCTAAAATTCCAGAGTCTACATCACCAAATGTTGCAAATGAAGACAATGACGACTGTCTCTTTATGACCAACTATCAGCCCCCGGGGCCCTTTCCTGCACAGATCTTACCAATGAGCTTACATTTAGTTCAGAGACAATGGTGTTCAACATAAACGAGGAAACTATTCCAATGAAGCTTTATATTGTTTTAGGTGTTAATTTCAGAATAAAGAATTATAAGAAGTGATTCTGAAATTAACATCTAAAACAATACAAAACACCAGCTGATCTAGACTGTAGTTCAGCTTTCTTTTCTTCATCTCTTTCCTGGAACTAGGGGACATCTGATGAGTTAAAGTAAGGCTAGAGAAATAGTAGAAACAGTTCAAAAGATCTTTGATTTTTCATTTAGTCGATAGCATTGACGTTATCTGTTTTCAAAAAATGTTTTTTCCTTTTGCTGGAGTAAATGCTAGTGACAATCAGAGAGCAGAGCGAGGGAAAACAAACAATGGTTTTTACCACAGCTCTGGTTCTGGCTTGGCTATTAACTAGTTGTGTGGCCTGGTGTACGTTACTTAACCATTCTGAATCTCAGTTTACTCACCTGCAAAATGTGGATAATAACACACCAGTCCCTCTTACGCTCCCCTCCGCCAGGAGTTAAATGGCATAAGGCCAGGGAAACGAACAGACACACACAGCGCTGGTTTTCTCGGTGACTCTCCAAAGCAAGGGCATTTGCCTCATTTTCAAAAATACGGACACTGCTACTAATTAACTATGGTAGTTAAACAGAAATAAGTTCCAGAAGTTCCACATAGGTCTGTGAATTGGGCCTAAAGCAAATCAAGAGTTGAAGCAAAAGTCAGGTGTCTAAAAACCCACCTATGCTGACGACACCCATTTTTCTGAAGACACCTGTTTCCCAGTTTTCAGTGTTAAGGTGGGCAGGACACAGTGCCAAGGGGGATCATGGAAATCGTGGGGTTCACTACCAGTCAGACCCTAAGGGTCTCACCTCTAGCGAGCTGGGCCTAGTTTCCTCATCCATCATCTGGTTTGGTTCATCTCAAGCCTTCCAGTTTGAAATCTCTATCAATCTAAACCGCCCCCGCTCCCACTGCTGCTTCTCTGACAGAGTAGAAAAGCACTTTAGAAGAATATGACCTTACAGAAACTGAATCACGCTTTAGTCCAAATGAATTATACATTAATTAAGTTATAATTATACATTATATTACAGGTGGAGGCTGATTTCATTTGCCAATTAAGAAAAGAGGGCCTCCACCTGTACCACTCAAATGTGATTACTTCACCAGGAAGCGGTGGGTATTTAAGAACCAAAAAAAAAAAGTGGGAGAAAGAGCTGTGCTTGTGTGTTCAAGAAAGCCTGAGAAGGGAACCAACCATAACAGATTTTGCAGGCAATAGAGAAGATTCTAGAACTGGTGATTTTCTTGACTATCACCTGTATTTGGGGGTATTTCATGCAGTACCAACATTGCCCTTTCTGGTTCCAAATTCCAAATTCCGATCAATAAGTAAAGTCATCTGGAGGAGATGAGATAGAAGTATACGCAAGCCGAACCGCTGCAGTTCAGTCAGTTGCCCTAGGGGTAGGAAGATCTCAACCTTTTCAAGAAATATTTAGGTTAACCAGTTTCATTCATTTGCCTCCCTCCCTCTTCAGATAGCTGTGTGCTGCCTCTCCACTTTATTTACAAGGCCGGAATGCACCTCCCAAAATTCTGCCTACCCACAAGGCCTCCACCTTCAAGATCTTGTGCAAATGCTATCTCCTCAAATACCTACAAACTGCAATGTTCCGTTGCTCATTCGGGTGGGGACTGGTCTTTCCCGCGGCCAGCGTCCCTGGGATGCGTTATTTTGAACTCGGAGCTACTCTGATCTTGCCTTGGATTGTACATGGGTCTAGCCTCAACACTAGCTCCAGATGACAAATGAAGATAGCCCTTGGGAGCACAGCCATGTATTTGGTTAAATATCTTTTTCTCTCCCAAAGCACCTGGCCCCTTGCACAAAGTAGTGGATCAATGATAGCTGATAGATTTAAGTGCACTGTATTTAAGTATAAATGTGGTTGGGGTCGCCGGTTTCGTTAGTGTTGCCACACCAAACCAAACTAGTGAGTTTCAAATTGCCTTGATTGACTTCACGCTTCCTCAGTTCCAGGACAGGCGCTAAGCAATTGTGAAATCACCTAAAGGCAGGGAGCAGAGGGCGAATAAAGGGAAGCCAGGGCCTGGATAATCTTCCCTGAGTCATCATTTCCTGAATGATGGAGCTTGCTGCTCCGGGGGAATGGAACCTGAGCAGCGCGTGGAAGACAAGCCCCGCCGCTCGCCCGCGCGGGTGCTGCTGCAGCGGGACCCTGGAGCAGGAGCAGGAGCCGGCCCCGCACCCACGTGCTGGAGCGCCCTCCTGTGGCGGCGCCGCAGCCCCCGCCGCGCGCGGCTCGCCCGCAGACCACGTCCCCCCGCCGCCCAAGAAACAAGAGACGCAGAAAGTTTCCGAGCCAGGCTGTTTGCGAAAGGTCGAAGCCAGGTCCTGGTGCCTCGGTGCGCGCGCGTGGCGGGAGCAGGGCCTAGGCTGGCGGCCACCGCATAAGGTCCAGGCCCAGACGGACCCCCCCAAGGGCTCCGAGGTGTCCTCCACCCGGGCTCGAGGCCTCCGGACCCCGAGGGCGAAGGACTCCACCCCGCACCCCGACCTTACGGCGAAGAGCGGACGGGAAGCCTGTCCCCCACTACCACCGCGCGCTTGGGGCTCCTGGGTTTGCATTATTCATTTCTTAACTGGAGAAAGGGGGCGCACCGACTCCCTTTGGCGCATTCTGATTCCCAGTAATCTGGATTCTGAATGCCCAAAGGGCCCACCTGGAGTCCACCGCCCCACCCAACGCCGCTTCCCCGGCTGGGGTGACAAGTGGAAACAGCAATTCCCCTTCTTCCACCCGCTCCAGCCTCCTAGTTTGGGAGGTGACAGTGTCCCACCAGGTTCTCCTGCCGCCCGCAGTAGACTCGCCGGCCAGGAGGCGGCGGCGGGGGACGCGGCGCCCCAAGGAAGGGGGCGGGGGGCGGGGGACCGGGAGCGGACGAGGCCGGGCCCGGCGCGGCGTTTACCTCGTCCACGGTGAGCGGCATGCAGATCCGGTACTCCTTCAGCAGCATGGTCCTGCCGGCCGCGGACCCCCGGAGCTGGAAGCGGGGGCGCCCCCCAGGAAACAAGGCTGCCGCCCAGGCGCAGGGCAAAGCGCCGGGAGCCCAGCGCTCGGAGCCGGCGGGCGAAGCGGCCCCGGCGGTGCGCTCAGCTCCTGACTGCCTGCTCTCCGCCCGAGAGCATGTCAAGGTTTGGGTCCGGTGTTCGCGGCTCCCCCGCCTCCTTCCTAGCCGAGGTCGGTCCTCCCGGAACGCGGCGTTTCAAAGTCAGGGAGGAAGGGAGGGAGCCCCGCTGGAAACCGCTCTGATATGCAGCCCGGGGCGGTAGGAGCAGCCGTCAGATCAGGACATGCCCCGTGGCGGGCCAGGGAGGAAAAAAAAGAGATTTCCAAAAATTAAAGCGAATGCACAAAAGTCACCCGCTCGATCCGCCTCTGAAACCAGACATGAACCTGGAGACCACCCCCTTCTCAGGCCGGTCTGCCCAATGCGAATTCACCAGGAACACACTGCAGCCGGGGCTGGAGATGCTGACTTTCCAGACAAAGGCTCGATCGGCTCCTCTCCCCAGGCGGTAAACAAGATTGCCTGATCTTTTTAGGGCCAGTCCCCGAGGCGCTCCGAAGCTCGCTGGAGGAGAAAAGGGAAGCCGCCGCCGCCGCTGCCGGGCTCCGCCGGGCTGGGGCCCGGGGTTCCTCCAACCTCCGCTCGCGCAAGGAAGGGCGGGCGAGAGCAAGCTGGCGCCTTCCGCGCGCGTCCCCTCCCCCGAGTCCCTCGGCTCCCTGAGCGCCGTGCGTGCCCGCGAGTTTGCAGCCACCTCGCCGGGACCGGAGAGTCCGCGCGGAGCTGCAGTGTGTGCCTCGGGCCGGGGAGGTGGGTACGGGAGGAGCCAGCGCGAGCGAGGCTGACATCAGCAGCGGCCGCGGCAGGGAGGGTAGCCCCATCCGGCCAATGGGGAAATGGCAAAGAATGTGGAGGATTTAAACAAAACAGCATGTCTCTGCCGCGCTGCTGCCAGACGGCCGGGCTGCCCCGGAGCCCAGCCCGCCCGGCGCCGCGGAGAGTCGGAGAAGGAGGCTTCTCTCGGCTCCTTTACCCCCTGAATCTGTTCTCCAGGGTGTCCTGGGTGCCACAGTGCTCTGTCCAGCCACTCTGGGAAGCTTCTGGTTCCAAGAAACGCAAGTGCTCTTCGACTTTTGGCAAAAGTCTTTACAAATACCCACCACGAATGTTTTCACTTTGGTCCAGCAAGCAAGTCCAGCGCTGGAGAGGTGATGGAATTCCAGAGCATGAGAACCCTTGCCTGGTTTCCCGACTGGTTCCAGAAAAGGAATCCTGGAAAAACTAGGGAATGCAACAGTGTGAATGCAGAATGAAGTACAAACATAAAGACGTGCCAGCAGAGGGAAGGTGAACCGGACACAGCCTTGCACGCTCCTGGCCCTGCTCTGCAGTCTGCCTGCAGGCTTCACAGAGCAGCAAGAATGGGTGTTCGTGTCAGCACTCCTAAGTTCAAAAAGTCACAGTGAAATGTCAATGAAAATGCCTGGAGTGTTGGTATTTCATCCATATTAAACAGATCCCTCATTTTAACCACAAGAGGCACATTCTTCAGTTACTCAGGAAGCTGCATGTAACTGCTGAAGTCTGTTTTTCATTTGTCTGGTATTTTTAAGCCTGTTTTTATGAAAAGTTGCTGGATGGAAAACACACCAGTTGCCTCTATGCAGAACAACCTGCAAGCATCATCTTTTCTCAGAAAAATATTCATGCTTTAAAGTCCTGCAGCTACTCATAGTGCTTGGATGGCAATACAGATGGCCTCACTATTACAGTATGTTAAATTGTGATTAATAAATATCCAGTATAACTATGGTGGGCTGTGGCAAAAATCATCCAGATGGCTGGAGAGAATTTATAGCTGTGTGAACATGATACAAAGCCTGATAGAAAAATGACACCCTGTACCCAGTTTATATTTTAGTGAAAACTATTTTCTAGATAAATGCTTCCCAGAGTTGGCTCAGAAATACTCACAGCAACTAATTAAAGCTAAACCAAATTCCTCGAGGTGGAAAATCTAAATCTGACACTTTGTGTTGAATAATAACACATTGAAAGCCTGTGATATGGAAAGAAGCTCAAGCTGTTTTTCTTTTTTCTACTTCTTACTTGAAAACAAGTGTAGTGGTTTCGCTTCTGGCACCTAATACTCTTCCCAGAGGCAGCTTGGGCATGTATTTGGTTAGCCACACAGACACATGCACAGGGGACATCAGAATACATGGATATATTCCTGGCTTCCTAGATGTTTCCTGACATTGATGCTGTAAATCAGTATTTTACTGATGACTATTACGGTTGAGGAACGACTTCTCTGAATTCCCCAAACTGCAAGTCCCCAGGTTCCCGCCTCTCCCCTTACCCTTCTTGCAAGCTGACTTCCTCACTGAATTTTTCCTTTTCACACAGTCTGCATGCCTGGTCACACGGATCTTGTTCAAGCTTTAATCTCTCAACCTTCAAAACCTCTCAGCCATTCTCTACGCTCTATTGAGCGAATTCAAATTCTTTGGCAGGAGGATCAAGGCTCTGAATCTACCTTTCCCACAATAGCCAGTCGCCCTTCCCCTGAGACAAATCCGTTGGCCGGAAAAAGCCTCCACTTTGCTCCTGCCATTGCCTTCAAAGAGAACCCCTCCCCTGCTCCATCCCCCAGTGACACCATTTTTTCAGCAGGGCACTGGCAATCTGTGTTTTTGGAAAGAGCTTCTGATGGTATTGTGTTGGATGGGTTAGAACACAAGGACACCAGAGGCAGGAGATTATGTTATTATAATACTATAGGAGACATATGTGGAGAGCCTGAAATGGTGAATGAAGAAAAGAGGATGCATTTTAAAGATTTGGAAAGGACTTGGGGATGGATTGGTTTTCTCTACAACAGCATTTGGGGGATGGGAGGGTAAAGGGAGGGCTTATTCATTCATAACTCATTCACACAAAGGGAGGAGAGTGCCATCTACTGGACAGACGCATTTGAAAAAATGTTTGAAGTCACCTACCAGCAAAAAGTCTGACAAGGAGAATTGTATCTTTGTTTCTCTTCAACCAGTTCAACTTCCAAAGAACCTTGAAGGTGTCGCTATCATCATTCTGGACAATATGATGTTCCATTAACAACACACAGTCTACAGTTACTAATCATCACATATTTAAAAAATGGGGGTGTGGTAGAAAGGGCAAAAAGAGAAACAAAGAGTAAAGCTACCAGTATGGAATAATATCACCAAAAGGAGAATACTATTAGCCTATGCATGTCTGTGACAGCGTGTATTCAGATAAGTGACAACCTATGAAGGCAGGGGTTACGAGAAGGGAGGAGGTACACGTCAAAATCAATCATCTAAGGAGCTTTTTCAACCCATTGTCTTCACCAGAATTCTGATGACGTTCCCCTCCCCCCATTGAAACCTCTTCTTAGTTTGTGTGAAAAATCGTGAGAAGGTCCTGACCACCCCTGTAAGAAGCATCTGAAATAAGAATATACCAACAGTCTTGTGACTATTCGAATCATGTTTTATTCCTAGAATATTCTTGGTATTTCTAAAGTAAAATATAGGGTTCTTCCTATCTTCCTCTTTCCTACTCTCTATATCTAAGGTCTGTGGGTCTGTCAAGGCCCTTCAAAAGTCCTATCTTCTACACAGAGACATTCTAGGAACTCTTTACCTTTCTAGACAACCCAGAAATTTTATTTGAACTATTCATTTTGGTTTTGTTTGTATACAAGTGTGGCTTTTATATGTAAAATGTTATGTGCAGTACTGTGTTTCACCTGTTCTCCAACTTGCCAGTGCGATGGTAAGCATCTAGAGGAGACAGACTACATCCTATCCATGTCATCTGGAAAATGTAGCCTGGTATGAGGAATATTGTAGGTACTCAATAAATGTCTATTGGATGTCAGGGTTCTCAACCTCAGCACTATTGACGTTCAGTCCAGATAATTCTTTGTTGTAGCGGTCATTGTAAAATTTATAGCAACATCCCTGGTCTTTATCCACTAAATAGCAGTAGCAGCTCCCCCCACCCCCATATACACACACATTGCCAAATATAGTGGTCGGCATGGAGCGGGGAACTCCTGCAATGAGAACCACTGTATTAGTGTGACGGTCACTAGTCTTAGTCTTAGCTACTCCCAGAAGCTTTTGGAAAGACTTTCAATTTGTCAAAATTTACCACTCTATTAGTATGATAGTCACTAGTCTTATCTAAATATTTAGCTACTCCAAGCAGCAGCTTTTGGAAAGACTGACTTTCAACTTGTCAAAATTCGGACTAAGGAGAAAAGGAACAAAACAAAACTGTTACATCACAGTGACATAAGTGACATAAAGATGTACCTTTCTCATTCCCATGCTCTGCTTTATATTACCAAAATGGCCCTTGATAAAAGGCTTGACCTTAAACTTGATCACTTGGTTAAGGTAATATCTGCCAAGTTTTTCCATTATGAAGTTACTATTTTGCCCTTTTCATACTTCATTCTTTGGAACTGAGTCATTAAGTGCAGGCCACACTTAAGGAAGCCCCACCTCCTTTGGGGAGAGAGTATCTACATATGTAATGAAATCTGCAAGATTTGTCCCTCCCCCCTCATTTATTTATTCATTCAATTATTTATATCAGTGTGGCATCATGCATATTTATTCTATACTTAAGTTATAATTCAATACTACATTAATTTTGTTGCTTAAATTATTCTAGCTTTGGCCATTGGTAGCTCTTACAGTTTGGTTCCTGGGTTCTTTTGACATGCTCCCTTTTTAAAGGTGATTTATGAAGGCAGAATGTTATCCTTTGCAATTAATTTGTGTTGTATTAAATATCATTTAATTCCAGCAAAGTCTATGTCTATGTATACCTGTGTGTGTGTGTGTGTGTGTGTGTGTGTGTGTGTGTTTTAAACACCTGTATGTCTGTCCTTGCTAGGTGCTAAGCAAATGTTAAATTCATTCTTAATAAAACTACACAAAGCAAGTCTCAAGGCAATTCTTTTGTGTAGACCCATATATCAGACCTCTATTAAATACGGAGAATGCCTTTGACGTGTAATTGCTTGTACCGTGCAGTAAATGCTCATAAAATAAAAATTAACTGACGACGATATGGTACAAATTGCTTCACATAGAAAAAAACCTGGAGGTTCTGTGGCTAAAGTTATTAGAGTTTTGTCTTTTTTGAAATAAATAAGCTAATACTGTTTATCAAAGCTTTACTTTTTATTGCATTACTTATTTTTACAAAAATTATCAAAACGTTGGAATGTGTTGAGATGGATTATGAGAGTATACATAACCTATACTCACTGGAGAGAAATATTGGTGATGAAAGAAAACATTGTCCTTGATCTGGAGGGTCGTTTAAGAGGAGACAACTGTGTAACCATAGTTTATGGTAGTTCTTTAATGCCAAAGCATATTTAACCTAGTATCATAAAATGATATCGACACAGATCTGGAAATGGTATTTCTTAGCCATGTGATGCAATAAAGATGTCATGTAATTTGACTTTTTGTGGAACATTTTAAATGTTACCAGAGAGAAAAAGAGGGAATTATGTTTGCTTATTAAGCATATGTAATCATTTATAGCAAAACCCCAGTTTAAAAATTGCTTAGGTGACTGTAGTTAGGCTGACACCCTGAAACCTGAAAATACTACCTTATTGGAAAAAGTCTTTGCAGATGTGATTAAGGATTTAAAATGAAGAGATTATCCTGGATTATCTGGGTGAGGCCTAAAAAGAATCATAAGAGACTCTATAAGAGAAAGGCAGAAGATTTGACACGCCCAGAGACAAGAAGGCAATGTGGCCCTGAAAGCAGAGATCAGATGAGGCCACAAACCAAGGAATGCCCACAGCCACCAGAAGCAGGAAGAGGCAAGGATCAGATTGTCTCCCAGAGCCTCAGGAAGGAGCATGGCCCTGTCATACCTTGATTTTGAACCAGTGGTATCGATCCAGATTTCTAGACAAGATTGTGAGAGTCAGTTTCTATGGTTTTAAGCCACTAAATCTGTGGTTAGTTGTTACAGCAGCAAGAATAAATGAATAGAATGCTTCAGTTATGACTCTGTTTACCTGATATAATTGCACTTGACATGAAGTAATTCTATAAAGGACTGAGAGATTTACTCAAAAGACAATGTGTATTTTTCTTTAAAAAGGATTCATGGCAGACTTGAAAATAGCAAGTTCTCCTATTGCCTTTAAAATAGGCAAATTACAAAAACAAATATTTTACACACATTTCAGGGACATTTCTGTAATGTAAGCCTCATGGCTTTAAATACCATCGATATGCTAATGACTCCTAACTTAAAAACTCTCTAGTCCAAATGACTCCCCTTAATTTGACACTTGTATATTCACTTGGCTTCTCAACATTGTCACTTGAATATCCAACAGGCACCTGGAATTTAACATATCCCAAACTGGGCTGCTGTCCCTTTCTCGTTGACATGGTCATCTCTAATCTGCTCTTGGTAAATGACAACTCCACCTTTCCAGACACTCAGGCCAAAAATCTTGATGACGTTTGATTCCTCTGGGTCTACCTTCAGATTGCATCCAGGATCTAGGCACTTCTTACCACTAATGCTGCTTCCACCCTAATCCAAGCCACCACCATTTCCCTCTTGGATTACTGCAGTAGCCTCCCACCTAGGCTCCCAGCTTCTGCCCAACCTAGTAGTCACACAGCAGCCAGAGTGGTTCTTTTACTATGTAAATCAGCTCATGCTACTCCTTTGCCCAAAACCCCCATTGGCTTCCTGTCTTACTCAGATGAAAAACTAAGTGCTTCTAGTGGCTGAATTGCCCTAAACCTCATCTCCTACAACTCTCACCCTCACTTCTTCTGGTTCTCAAACAGGCCAGGCAGACCTGAGTACTGTCACTTCAGGCTTCTTGCTCCCGCCTCTGCCTGGAGTCTTCATTCCCTAGCTATCTGCAAGACACCCTTACTTACTTCATGTCTTGGCTCACTAGCAGTACCTTCCTTGACCACCTCTCAAACACTGTCACCCCTAGGCTCATACTTACATAAGTGTCTTCTTCCCTTCCTTAGAATGTTCACTTCAAAAGGTAGGAATTTGAGTCAGATATGTGCACAGCCAATAAGCTGAACATGCCAGAAATGCCAAATACAACCAAAATATACCCAAAGTAGTAGTTAATACATCTTCTATATAGTAGTAGTTAAAATACATTATTTTATTTTATTTTTTGGCGCCTGCACTCAAAATACATCATTTTATATAGTATAATATACATTACCACTGTTCTTTCTGAATAAACTTTTTCTAATCAGCATTTCTCCCTACCTTTTAGATTCCTTATTCTTCCACTGCCAATTTTTCTCTTTTGAAACCAAATTCTTTCTTACAAAGCCATAAAGTTAATCTCAGACTCACCCAAATAAAGGATTTATAAAGAGCCTGTCTACAGTATGGTACTTGTACCTATTTTTCTGACCATTGCTCAGATTTTTACTACTTCATTTACTTCACTTTAATATTTTTATTTTCTTTGCAAGCTATCCCTTAGATTTCATTTGCTTTCATTTTTTGTTACCTCCAAGCTTAGCAAGGAAGGGCTTCAGTTTGGTGTAGGAGCCAACTAGAGTTTTCTCTACCTATTTGTTCCCTTCTTAGACCCCCTGACACTTTTATTTTTTGAGTTCTGAAAATCATTACTCTTTACTCCATCACACCTTTGTTATTTTTTGTCTTTTCAAACTCTCCACACAAAATGTAGACCTCCAAATCCTTGTCTATTCTAGTCAAACCAACTGCACACCAAATACAGGGCCAGAAAACATCTTAACCTAATGCATCTCAACAATACTGGCTCTTAGAATGTTTTAGAAATTTGTGAGGCAATTTTAGGTTGTCACAATCATTGGGAGAGGGAGATAGTACCATGTAATTAGGATGCTAGACATGAGCAATGCAACAAACCTATACAATAAAATACTGTCCCACAATATCAGACTTTTCAGTGTCCTGCCAGACACTTATGTGTCTAAGGCCTAGACTCTAACTCCATTTTATATATGTCAAGCTATTTTTCTTTGAAGTCTTAATATGGACTAAAATTTCTAAGAATTCTTCTGTGTGAAAAACAATGGAAGATATAGTCAGAACTTTTACCAAGAAGGTGTACATCATTTTGGAAAAATCATACTACCAACAATAAGCCCTTTGATGCTCGAGGAACCAATAGAACACACCTAGTGTTTGCAGCTTTTGCAATTACAGTTATGTGTACAAGCAAATAACTACTTCTTTGTATTTTCTACTGTGAACACATTTTAGCTTTTATATTTTGAACTATATATTGTGCTATTTTGCAATGTTTCTCTTTTACATTATAACTGGCATATTTTCTTGTTTTGTTTTTAAATTGTGTGTAGATGGGTTATATTATCCATGGTTTTTATTATAGAACAGTATTTTTTTAAAGCTGATAGCATATATAGATGTTGGTGCTGATTAAATTGAGAACCACTAACACAACAGGTAGACCAGTGCAAGATTTCGCATTTGCTTCCCAATCTACCGTTGACACTTTGACCACACCATACACAACCTCATTTTCATTTTCAAGGATCCAAAGCCTTTTTATAGGGACACTATTGGTGCAGATGATAATAAAGAAAACTCGTATGGTCCTTAAGAATTGAAATAGTCTCGCATATGTCATCTCTTCTGATGCCCACAAGAGTCCTATAAGGAAAGCAAATGTCTTTTTAAAGATTTTTCTCACCAACTGTACTGTATTATAGTAAAAACGAAAACAAACCAAAAATACTTTACTTGAGCCGCTGCCATATCTTCGTTTAGGAGCTTTCAGAGATCCCACAGATTAAGCCACCAGGATTCTCAACCAGATGAAACCTTAGAACTTTTTTCTTTAGGGTTTATTTCAGCCTGCTCCTATAGAGTTGAGAAAACCGAGATTTGAGGACAGTTAAGCGACTTGCCCACGGCTCTGAGAAATCATGACCTCTCAAAGCAGGGGTGTAAAAATATACGGAATGGCCTATTCTATTACACAAGTTCTGCTCACCACAAATTCTAGGTGAAAGGTCTGTCACCGAAGACAAATCCGGACGTGCGCTACAGGGGCGAGCCCCGCCCTCCAGCTCCGCCCGCGGGGCTGCCCGCGGCGCTGCCTGCCTGACGACCGGCGCAGGGGACCTCGTGGGGTCCTTCGCGCGGGCTCCCGACGCACTGCCTGAGCGGGTGCGCAGGCGGCTTCCGGTGTGGGTGACGAGTGGTGGCCGAAGCAGGGGGACATCAAGGGACGCTTAGGCAGTGACCATGGCGGACGGCGGCTCGGAGCGAGCTGATGGGCGCATCGTCAAGATGGAGGTGGACTACAGCGCCACGGTGGACCAGCGCCTGCCGGAGTGCGAGAAGCTGGCCAAGGTGAGGGGAGGCCGGCTGTCTGTTGGCGGGCGCCAGGGGCTGAGTCACGGCGCGGAGCCTGCTTAGGCCTCAGGGGGCCTGAGGGCTGGAGCGCGCATCCCCCCATTCCCTGCCCAGCCCGGGTTGGGCCTGCCTGAGTAGGACATCCCAGGTCGGCCTGACCAGGGAGACTCCGTAGGCGGGGTACGCTAGTGCATACAGCCTTCTACACTCTCCCCAGGACAGATGGTCACTTCATCCCCGTGCGAGTTGGGGCCCCGTAGTACTTTTTGCCTTTTCTTGGATACTGTTTAACGTTTACCTTAGTAGTTTCCCTGGAGTCCAGGCCGCTTCAGCATTCAGGCTAGATCAGAGAGTTTCGTTCTGTTACTCTTGCTGAATCAATTTATGTCAAGTTGTTTATAGATCATGGCGATGCGCCTGGCCTTTGGCCAGGAGAAAAGGCAGGCAAGTGATAGTATGAGGTGATTAACATAGGCTCCCTGTCCTTGAGGAGTTGTCTAATAGCTAACGAATTAGAAAGTCTTGCATGGTGGTGAGTACCATGTAAGTATAAATAGTGTCATTGGAACATAGAGAAGGAACCTGTTCATTCTTTCTGGTGGGATAAGGGGAGGTTTTACAGGGAAGCTAATGTTTGTGTCGGGCCTTAAAGAATGAATGAGATTGGGTTAGAAAGGAGTCCTTCCTGTAGCGGGAACTACGGAAATAAAGACAAATAGGTACTAAAATGCAGAATAACCTAATTAGAGGAGGTCTCGAATAGTAGTTTAGCCCAACTCAAATAACTGCTTATCTCCCATAGAATAGAAATTTAACTTCCTCCAAACATTCGTCATGCCCCCTGCTGTGTGTCAGGCAACTTTGTGTATCATTTTATATAGAGAGATACCAAGGCTCAGCGTTATTTGCCCAACGTTACAGTGAGTAATAGGTAGAACCAGGGATTCAAAACTCGGTTTGCCTGACTAGGGTATGGGTAGTGGTTGAGTCAGCTCCATCATGGGCTGTTGCTAAGGATTATGTTCAAGCCTCATTAAATTCCTTGATCCTTCTCCAGCTACAGACGTTTATTGCTATTCACCTGGGATGCATTCACTAATAGGGTTGTTTATGTCTCTAAGGAGCTTACTACATAAATATATTAAAGTGTAATAAATTCAGGGGCAGGAGGAGTGTCAAGTAATACTTCATATTTAGTTTTTAGAAAACTTTTTAATGCTTCTCTTTTTTCCAAAAAAGAATTG